ACCAACGGATCGAGGAAGTTGCTCTGAATAATTGTGTCATTCTAAGGAACGATGAAGAGGACTTCGGTCATTTACGTTCATATGAGCCGGAGAGCACACAGGAGATGAACATGGTACAAAGACAGATGGAGAGCATAACTCATTTATCAGATGTACAAAAGAAACAAGTGATGGAGATAGTGAAAATCCATGCAAAGATATTCCAAACTCGGGTGGAATTATATTCAGCCGTACAGCATAGTATCAGAGTGAATGAAAAGTTTCGACCGCAACGGTTGCGTGCATACAAAATCCCAGAATTACTTAAACCGCAAGTTGAGAAACAATTAAAGATGATGTTGGAGCAGGGTATCATTATTCCGTCAAACAGTGCAATGGCCAGTCCCATTGTTTGCATCATGAAGAAAAATGGCACTGTCCGGTTGGCCGTTGACTACCGATATGTGAATAGACATTTTGAGGGAGATGGTTTTCCTACACCTGATGTTCAGGATGTACTTCAGAAAGTGAGTCGAGCCCGATATATAAGTAACTTCGATGCTAAAAGTGGTTATTGGCAGATACTCATGGAGGAGGAATCAAGATGGCTGACCGTCTTTGTTTGCGATTTTGGATTATTTGAGTTTACCCGTATACCCTTCGGTTTGAATTCGGCCAGTATCACATTTACAAGAGCCATGAAGGAACTAACGAGACATGTGCAAGGATTCACAGAGGCCTACATAGACGACATAGCCGTATACTCCATTAATTGGGAGGAACATGTCATGCATTTAAGACGGTTTTTTGAGGTGGTGGAGCAGTCTGGCCTGACGTTTGATACAAAAAAATGTCGTTTTGCACAGGCCAGGACACCATTTTTGGGACACTTGGTGGGATCGGGTACCATTGATATGGACCCACTAAAGTTGCAGAAATTACATCAAATGCGACCCTCAACCACGAAGAAGGAAGTACGAAAAGTGATAGAATTTCTGAATTACTTTCACAATTTCATCCCGCATCTAGCCAGAACTTTGGATAACATAACGGAATTGACGAAAGGGAGAGGTTATAGGAATGTAACGTGGACACAAGAGCATCAACGTAGTTTGGATACAGTAATTCATCAGCTGAAGAATGTTGGAGGTTTACATACCATCGATTACACCCAACCGTTTGGTTTAATCACTGACGCTAGTGACCACACGGTGGCATGTTGCTTGGTGCAAATTGATAGTTTTGGAAAAGAACGCCCCATTGCGTTCGCTAGCAAGAAACTGTCGGATACACAGCGTCGGTGGGCTACCATTAAAAAGGAGGCATATGCCATCTTGTGGGCATTACAGAAGTTCAGAGGATGGATCTGTATGTCGGCAATCCATGTATACACAGACCATAATCCTTCAACGTATCTAATGGATGTAGTTCCTAAGAGTTAAAAGTTGATGAGGTGGGGTTAGCCATGCAAGAGTTTGACATACACATCAAATAACGCGCGGGAAACAAGAACGCCGCTGACTTTCTCACCAGGCTGGCGGAAAAGCCGGATAAGGATGAAGAAGTAACAGACACACAGGAGTGAATATTCTACCCCGTAGAATATTCAACTGTTGGGGAGGAAGTATGTCACGGTTCAAGAGTGGATGTTGAGCGCCGCATCACTAAAAATTATTATTGCTGTGGGGTAGGACGGTGCGTCGTGTAAATAAAGGTCGGTCTCGTCAGACAGAAAGAAAGTTTATTTTATTGTAGAAAATTAGTTGGTAGAGTTGGTTAATTTCATTGTAGAAAATTAGTTGGTAGAGTTGGTTAATTTCATTGTAGAAACTTAGTTGGTAGAGTTGGCGTTTTTTGTTGGTGAGAAATTGGACAAACAAACGTGGTTGGTGAAGTAGCTGTTGGTTGGTACGGTATTATTGGGAGAAGTTTCATTTGTTGGTACGTGGGTGGTAGTTAGTCAGTGGTTATACGGGAGAGCTGGAAATACGGTACGGGGTTGTTACGAGCTCAACGACGACAAACGTAAGGTAGCGAACAAAGTAGTTATCTGTTGCGTTGGAGGGTGGCGAACGAAGTAGTTGCCTTTCAACGTAACAACAACGTTTGTCGGTTGGGTAAAGCACAGGTGGTGCAATATTGGTGCAGAAGACTGCTGGAACCGAAGAAGTCAACCCCACATAACACCAGTGTTCGAAGAATTCTACATTGTTGTCAAGTGAAGAAGTTGAAACAGTATCCGCTCGTACGTGGTCACAGCACTGGCAGGAACAAGTCTGCACACTAACCTCGAACTTAAACTTTTATTTGGTTTTCTTTATTGACATTGTATATTATTGGTATAGTTTTAGTTTACAAAATAAATTTTTTTTTGATTTGTGTCTACGTCTCAATCTTGCCGCTAAGAACCCGCTACAAAAACATATAGATATATACAAGCGGCACGCCTCAAAGACGCAATCATTATCATCGCAATCGTCAGAATTTCACAAAATACACAGGCGGCATATTTCAATCATGCAATCATTATCATCGCAATCGTCAAAATTTCACACATATATAATCCAATATATATATATATACATATATATATATACATATATATATATATATATATATATATATATATATATATACATATATACATGAACACCAAAATCGTTGTTTGAGTTAAGATGTGATGTCGTCCGATTGTTGCGCACATTTTGATAATATTTTTGACTCCACTTTTTATCTTAGCACTTTGCTAGTTTTACTGATTAAGCAGTCAAAGCGATGGTTATTCTGGCTAGTCTTCAGTTGTTTCATATGTATGTATATATATATATACATACATATATATATATTTATATATACATATATACATTAGGGTGTCCCAAAAATATGAAGTTTTAAAATATTGATGTCTCACCCCATTAAATATGTCTGTATGGTAGCAGTAATTTACCTGCTAAATTTTAGCCCATTAGGACAATGTTTAGAGGTCCCCAAAGGGGTCGAAAGTTTCCGATTTTGGTGTTTGATCGTTCGCTACCAACTTTTGATACAGTGTTATATGATATGATTATAAATGTTTTATGATTTGTTTATACAAATGAAACAAAATATATAATTGTGAAAAAATATATAAATCTGCAACGCCTTTTATTTTTTAATTTCAAAAATTAGGTCAAAAATGATTGAAAAACAAGATTTTATTGAATTTCAGTTTGCTTGAATATTAATTAATGCAAATAATTCAAATTTTTGCTAGCAGTTCACGATTATATTCTGCAAAGTTTTTCCTATGCTGTTCAACTACTTGAAGCAAAAATTGTTTCTGCTCTGCGTCTTTGGTGATTGTTTTATTGAAATGTTGTACCAACGCTACTCCCCGTTCTGCAGAGTCATTGATGCAAACCAGATTCTTTATAAACACTGCTGCAACTTGGAAAGAAGGAGTTTTCAACAAGTACATCAAAAAAACTGGCATCAATATTAGATGTTTCAAAAAATGTTTTAGACGCACGCAAATTGTCAAAACTTTGTGGTAGTGTTTTCATCAGATGTGGGCCTCGATCTGCTTGTATTGTGCGGACAAGATCAGTCTTTTCTTTGTCATACAGGAGAGATGAAAAAAGAACAAAAGTTGCCAATTCTGGACTCATGTACCAAAAATGACGCAGCATCATTTTTAATCGTCAAACCAAGAACTGCATCGTCATAGTCATGCAAACGCTGTATCAACAAAATATCATTCACAGGTGCATCAGCAGTGAGCCTGCATGAAAACCATGACTGAAGATAAACACAAATGATAAACCGATTCAAACGTTGAATACCTTGTAATTCTCGAGCTGTTTAAGTTAAAAATTATTTTATTTACGGTGAATAATAGTTCAATTTTTAATGCGTAGATGGCTTTTGCCATCCATCGTGCCCTGTGCCGTGCACCAGGTTTGCGAATGGCTACATCAACCTGCAGTTCAGCTATTTGTGCAGCAAGAAGTAGAAACTCTAAATAGTTATCTCGATAATGTCTGACCTCAAGCTGACATTTGATGAATGCTTTAATTGCATCTGAAAC